TTCTCCAGGTTTATTAACTTAAATGGTTTTAATCTAACAAAGCCCAGCAACACTACGAATAATTTAGAAACCTGAAAACTAGTGAGTGCATGGCGAATGCTATGTTTGGAAGACTAAATTGTCAAACAAAAGCAGGTGGACGCAAGGGAAAGTAGCTGCAACTATACAGCTATTTCCCCGATTCAAAGGCGTCAGTCCCACGGCAGCAAGTGCACCCCTGTGACCAAACCAGTTCGAAAAGATGTGAAAACAACTCATCATCAAACAAGATGAAAATTCAAGAAGGGTGACAATACAGTTTGTCTTCTGCTCAGCGTTGCTCAGGGTTGCTTGGTTTTATACATAATTTCTTCTAAATAACTTTGATTCCTCCCAGCTGCCCTACCACTGCCCAAACCTTCCCTCCAGCTCGCCCTGGTGCGCCGAGGCCAGACCCCCACGCTCCCACCGAACACCGCCCGTACCCCCACCCAGCAGCACAGGCGGTGCTGCCGCCACTGTCACCAGCCACCACTGTCACCAGCCACCAACAGGCAGACATGGCACGTTCATGGTGAGGGCTTAGATTTCTCAGGGGCTTTGATTCTTCTCCCAAGGGAGTGGTTGTTTTCTTTTTTGGCAGACAGCCCATTAACCTCTTCCCCACTGCATGCCCATTCTCCTCCTCCTCCTCGCTGCCCTTCCCCTGCTTGTCCTTGGGAACTCCACTTCCTCTCTTCCCCAGGTGACCAGGTGACAAAAAACCCAACACCTTATTACAGCTTTATACCACAATATGCCAATATTTACTTAGCTGCAAGCATAGCCCACAGAAGGGTCCTACAACTACCTCACATATTTTCACTTATTAATACAAAGTTTGTTCAGGTTCCTTATACCAAAAAAAAAAAAAAAAAAAAAAAAAAGGAAAGAGCTATAAAGTATGGAGCACTGAGCAAGGCATGGCTCATGCCACACCAAGGGACAAAGCCCAGCTGCATTCTTCTTAAATCTGAAAAATGCAAGATTAAATTTCTCCTCCTGCATTGTAAGGGTAAACTTGGAGCCTCTTCAGAGCCATCCAGGCCCATGAGCTGTGCGTTTTCCTCTGGCTTTCCGATTCTGTCAGTGACCTACTGAGAAACTGCTTTTTCTGCTAAATCCTCGGTCCTTCGGTAACATGACCGTTGAATAATGTCTGGAAATTTGCTTGTGTGACAGAGTCAGATATTAATCAAAGCTTTCCTCTGTCTACGACGGATCAGAGTGAGGAAAAAAACCTTAAAGCTGATTTAATTTCTTAATATGCTTCTGTCTGCTGGCTCTAATATTTGGCTTTGATTTTGAATACTTAGCACTTCCATGCTAGACACTGCATTCTTAGGTAATGAATAAAATACTTCCTTTTTTTTTTTTAAAGCAGAACATAATTAAGCTTGAAGAAATTAAATACGACATTCAAATGAGAAAGAGCTTTAGATGAATATGTAGATTTGAGCGGCACATATGCTTAACAGTATCAACGCATTCACTGCAGAGACTATCTTGAAGATACTCATTTTAACCATGGGTTAACCTCTTACCATTCCAGGTGAGGACATGAACTCCCTGTCTGGTGGTCTTTTGAGTTTATGGCTTTACAAACAGAAAGCTATGACTCTCACCGAGAGCAAGTGGAATAAAAAACAAACCAACCAACCAACAAAACCTGCTCAGACCTTCTCCCTTCCCAGGCACAAGACAGCCTACAAGCAAGAGTCAAACGGTGTTATTTCACTGAATACTCTAGTTTTAATCTGAAAAAGACATCTATTTGCTGCCAGGAAACCATGCCGCAGCCCAAAAGCTAATTGTGCTAGGACCTATACAAACACAGCTAATGCTGTTTCATGAAGAACAAGACTGGAATCCTTTATTTGTGTGAAAAAAATCTCTATCTAGTGTTGTTGCTGCTAAGGAAATCACAGATGCAGTTTCCATAAGCACCCTATGAAGGCTTTGTCTTCCAAAGTAAGTAACCCTGCACCCCAACACACTGAATGTTAACATACATGCATATTTTTGCCTAGCCGCTTTATTTCTATGACGGAACAGCCCTTTTCCCCAGCTGAAGTCCCAACCACAGCCCGTTTTACAAAAGGGCTCTTGTAAAACGATGGAGGTACTCAGTACATTCGGTCAAAGACAGGGCAATGATTAAAAAAAAAGTGTATGATTATCAATATATTAATTGCATTATTCCAGTAGAGAACAAGGAACAAAACGTGCCAGGCCCTGCATAACGCGATTAACACACCAGCCCTGCTATGAAGCTCAGAATTAAGTGGCTGAGGGGGAAACACGGTAAGGAAAGAATCAGCAAATAGAATGAATAGGGGACTACAGCATAACACTAGTGCTGTGACTCCTCTTTCATCTCTAGGTGCTTGCTGAGAGAGGATTAGCTTAACAGAGACGAAGGACAGAGAAATGGGTGCTGCTGCAAAGGATTCAAGGCAGGCATGACCTTCTTCCTCAGCATGCTTGAGGCTGGATGGTGCAAAGGGAAAGGGAAGATGGGACTGGAAAGGCTGGAGCAAAAGAAACCTGATATCCCATCAGCAGTGAACAAAAACAGCCAAAACCATTGATAGCCCAATATTTGTGGTCCCTGGACAAGCTGCTTCCACCCCAGTTTCTGCCAGCATGTGTCTCTCACTCATCCTTGAAGATTTCCTCCTCTTCCTCTCCCCTCCTGCTGAGGGCTGCACAGCTCGAGGGCAGAAGGAAGACTCAACACAGAAACTTTGATCCGTAAGGTCCCTGTGGGAGGAGGAGTCGGAAGAGAAGAAGGAGCAGTGGGAGAGGGAGCCTCTCCTGAGGTTCATGCTGATGGTGGTGGAGCAGCCTGGCCAGTATTATGCAAAGTACCCACCTGAGGACCTGCTCAACCTATTTATGGCTGCCAGGGATCAGTAACAGATCTCCCTCCCCCAGCCTTAGTGAGATTTCCTGTGTTTCAATTTGTATCTTTAATCACAGTCATAACTGAACTTGTTTCTTAAATGCTTGCTTTTAGGGAACCCAAGATTCTTAGACGGGCTCTGAAACACTGAGAAATGAATGCTGAAATACATTAATCAGCAATGGGATGAAAGATCATGAAAATGCTACAAAACTAGTTCTGATAACTCTTAAAAGAAAAAATTTTATTTCTCACTTAAGTCTCTCCAACAACGACCACAAAAAAAGAAACAAAAAAAAAGTTTCTGGTGCAAAAAAAAAATTCAACCAGCTGTGTTCTTTGGTTACAAAATTGAAGAGAATCAATTTTGAACAGAGGAAACATGGGTAGGGAATAAGCCATGTACTAATGGGTTTTAAAACGTTTTAGCTAGCACATAGCTGCTGAAGCTATAAAACTCTGATTCACTCAAGGCAAAGACAGATTCACGAGAAGCAATTAGGGCCCGATGCAACATACAATGATGTCATTTGCAGTCTTGCTGCTGACTTCAAGAATCTTTGAATCAAGCCAGCGACAATCATTAGTAAGGATCTGTCACTTTACAATAAAACCAGAATTGAGTTTTGCTGACCAGTGACAGAAACATCACCAGGAGAAAAGATTTTGGATCTTATTTCAGATTATTAGGCACTGATTTATTTCTCTCAATTCCAAAGGGAGTATTTTATTTTCTGGATTCCCCAGTGAAAGTTACAGTCTTTCCATTTGCTTAAGACATACAGATTCACACTGAAATATATCCAAAGGAGATTAAGCTAAACCAGACTGCTCATACCCCCAATGTGAAATACAGCAGTGAAAGCTGTGCTGCTGTCCGGTCTAGGTACTTTAGAGAGGATTCAGATGTCCTTACTTAGGTAACTGGACAAGAGAAGAGAAGCCTGGGCTTTCCCCCCTACCTTTCCTCTCCACTCCCACTGATTTCAGACACCTATCTTAAAATGAAATAAATCATCCTCTGTAGGCAGCCATTTCTGTGTTGACTTTAAACCTGTAGCACTTAGCACAGACACAAAACACTAACTTACACACACCACCCTTGGGGCAGTCATCTCCCAACCTCTTGCGTACGGACAGACTGTGACGTGTAGGCATGTAACGCATAAGACTCGTACTATGTTCTAAAAAAACAGGATGTGGGAAGTTGAGCTTCTCCTGAGGTCAGGTTGTAACTTATGGTAAATGTCAATTTTTTAATAGAGCAAAACATTTTAAAGATCAAGGAGAAAGAAACAATACAATTACCATCATGATTACATGATAAAAAGGATCCTCACTCAGTGCATAAATGTGACTTTAATGCCATTCACAGACATACGTTTTTTCAATATTGTCTCAAAACATGTTCAGTTCTGAATTAAAAAAGGAGTTTGGAATGCAAGTACAAAGCCCTGATTTTTGTTGTTTTAAATACCATCTGCTTCACAGCGTATTGCATTTAATCAGTGTTGCTAATTACAACAAACATTTCACAAACAAAACTAACATACCATTTTTGTTATAAGACCCAAGAATGGAAAAAAAAGATTGTTCTGGGCTACTGCTAAAAAAGAATGTCTTAAACTGTTTTAACTGTTGCTACCAACTATGGAAAAAACTTTTATTTGGACACATAGGCCATGCTACTGAATAAAAGTCTAACCTTTTTATTTATCGATCTGAGTGAAAAAAACCTTTTTACTTCAGCTTCTGCTCCAAGGAAACCTACAGAATAACAGACTTGCTACAGATGGAAATGGCCGTTAAGGACTAGACAGAGATCAACGCACATTTTCTTGGGTTTTGGTGAACAGAGGTCGCTGGTCAGGTCTCCAGAGGGAGAAACAGGGCATCACCATCACATCCCTGCTCCCCAGTGGCAGTGGAAAGCCACAGTCACGACCAGATGACCAATTCCACCTCCTGGCAACCAGCACCACACACTACACCTCCTACACGGCAAAGACTCAACAGCATTTCACAACCATTTGAAGTCCTGTTAGCAGTTACATCAACCAGAAAGGTGAAAAACTACCTTATGAAGAACGAAGCTGCAGCTGAGGTACCTGCCGAGACTCCGGCTGGGGCAACCAGGCTCTGGGAAGCTGCCGAGCCGCCTGCTCCCACGGGGTCGGAGTTGTTATGCCCTGAGCCCATCTGAACATTAGGACCATCCCGGCCACTTTCTGGTGCTGTTTCTGCCTGAAAAAAATAAAAACATATATACAGGTTAGTACACTTGCTGAATGCCCATGACAGGGAGCAATCTCATGCAGCACTTCCAAAGAATTCTTTGCAAGGGCGAAGGTGAAGATCAGCAGCGGCTGAGGGGTGATACAGCTGGACAAGAGTACCACAGTACGTCCTGCAACAGAGAAGGTAAAAACCATGACCACAGCAGATGAGCACAATAACACGGAAACCCTCTGTGATGGGTAATGCACAGTTAAATAGTTTGACAGGCATGAAGAAATGGAAAACGATAAGCAGAACTCTTTTGTTTTACAGTGTTATTTGTGAGCTGGCAGAACTGTTTATCTGGTTCAGTTACGACTGTCAGGAATTATTTCTCAGTGGCACATCATCTACAAGACCTATCTGTTTAAGAGGAACTAACCAAACAGTCACATTTGTAACATGTTTCCACATGAATAACCTCAAGAACTAAATGAAAAAAAAAAATTGATTTTTTAAAACATATATATAGCCCTGCTTTTCAGCATTATCTATCTTAGCTGCACAAGTACACAGCATTTTTGTCTCCTGCAAACGGTTCCAGTGGAAGAACAGGAGTGACTGGAGATGCATTTTCTCCAGCACCTGCAGTATATGAGACGAGGGGTGGGGAGGACACAACTGTTTTGGGATTTTGCCAAAATATCCTACATCTGTATTGTGAAATTGTGTCATGTCGGTATCTTCATGCTTAGGCCACCAAGTCTTTGAGTACAAAGTTCAATTAAGCCCCATCAGTCAAATGCTCATTGACAGTGCTGGGAAGGTCTCCTTTTCGGAAGAACCTGCTCTATGTCTAGGAGTACTGAAGATTTAATTAAAGACGACACCACAATAAATATTTGTCAAAAGAGTTAATTGCTTCATGTATGATAATATATGATGTTTCTGTCATCTGAAATGCTACTTTGACATTTCCATCTAATTAGGTAAAATAAATTCCAGAAAAGGAGACAGCCTTGTAATGAAGCACAAACGCAATTAAGTACTTCCTGGGATGCCACCAAATTTTAAATTTTGTGCTGCCATAGATCATGTTTTACAACTACAGATATGCAGACATGGTAATAGGGCCTTCCCAGTTACATACACACCCTCAATTTTCTCATACACTGACAACCCAAACAGAGTTTTTCTCATGAGAACTGAGGGAAGCTGGTTATTAGGTATTAAGTGAAAGAAAACTCTGCCAACCTAGCAGTGCTCAACTGGTGCATGAAAGGCCGTCTGGAGTTTCATCTGGACTCATTCCCATAGGCTGGGTGCTGAATTCCCAGTTCCCAGCAAAGTCGACAAGAAGCATGTGCACCCAGCTCTTTTGAAGGTCTGCTCTTTAAAGATTAATACTATTATCAGTATTATGGAGTGGCTGACATGCTTTACCATAGACTGCTACACAAAAAAGTACTTTTATAGAGCTTACCTAAGAGAACTGAGGTGGAGACATAGAAGAATATTCATGTAGATTAAATTAACCCTGGCAAAGGTACTTGCACTAGAAGCCTAACTGGAACCTTTGAATAAACCCTCTGCAAAATCCTTCACTTTGCAATACAGGAGTCTCAGAAGACTTAGCGATGCAGGCAAAAAGGCAGCGTCCAAGCACGGCTACGGGTCAAGACTGGCACAAAAAATGATATGCCAGCAATATGAGCAGGTACTTGAGCGTTCACAAAGCGAAGCGACAAATGCGTGGTCTTGACCTACACCATCCATGGAAAGTGTCTGGCATGGGGAAAACAATGCAGGCTGGGAAAGATCCGAACATGCCACCTGAATTTCTGAGTTACATGAACCAATGCAAAGTGCTAATAATAAGCAGAGTTTACTACAGACTTAGCAATTTACAGTCTAAGAAATCTACACCAGAAACTCTGGAGCCAGTACCTAGGGCTCACAAACTGGCATGCCAAGGGGCTGCCACGCACAGCAGCCAGTGGCATGATGGCTGGCAAGAGAAGGAAACCTTGCCAGCAGCCACTATCAAGCTAACATTAGTGTTTGAATACTCCCATATGTTCTGCCAGGAAGACAACCATAACCCTCTGTCACATTTGCTGTTGTCTCCGACTAAAAATTACAGGGTCAAGCTGACTTCCCAAGACATGTTTTTCCATTCACTTTCAATAGGGGCTATATTAGATGACAGGACTTTGAAACAAAGAAAATCACGTTTAAGCAAAATATTGAAAAAAGAAGGCAGATGCAGAAACATGTTTCTAACCAACTGTCCTTTAACTAATGCATAATCAAAAAGATGGCATAATCTAAAGCTAAATATGAGATCTGCAGAGATAGGATGAAACTTCAGTGGATTTTACAGCAAAGTATAACATATTTGTAAGAATTGACTGGAATTTGTTATCAAATCAAATCCTGTAAAAGCTATTCACACTTAATAAAAATATGAGCAATGTATAACATACATTCCTTTTTTAACACTTCTTCATTTCTATGAGAACTTCGAAACCTACATTTCTGAGAGATCAATGACTGCGGACATATCAGGCATCTAACTTGAAATATCCAAATCAACCCTGATATTTCAGATACCAGATGGTTAATATACTTTCCAAGCCAACATATCTAAGTCGTATGTCTGTAAATTGCCATTCCCACATTAGACACTTCTGAAAACTCGAACTGTAATTTCTGGATAAATTTGGAAGTTTTATTCTCAGTTCTGTGCATGAAAGGAGGATGAGGGGAAGCCAAGAAGGCAGCACTGATTCCTGTAAAGGGGGAAAAAGTGAAGTAAGACATGCAAGATAAAATCGTCAGAAGACTAGTGCAGAAGAGAACCTACACCTTTTTCATTAAGTCTTCAACTACCTGATTAGTAATCTTCAACACAGAAGTAACATCAGTTTTGCTGCATGGTGAGAAGCTGAAAAAGCACAAAACAAGTACTTCCAAGTTTAGGATTCATTTCAAGGACTGCTTGCACCACCCAAAGTGACAGCATTTTCCAGTACCACCACGTTCAGCTCTCCTTCAGACAGCTACATCTTTCAGCTGATGAGGAGGGCTGAGGTGTGAGGAAATTTGTCCAGTCCGAGTCATTTGCCCTGAGGCAGGAAAACTAAAGTCAAGCAAACGGGACCCTCCCCAGCACTCTGGTTTGTCACACCACAGTTTCAGCTTGTGTCACTTACAGCTGCTGAAGGAGCACAAATAAGGTAAAGGGGCTTTGTTTTTAAACTAAACGCAGGAATTACTTCATGCTCTTCTGAGGATTCTGTGTGGAAAATGTAATTCTCTGGAGAAATGGGAGCAACCTAGAATCATAAAATAGTTTGGGTTGGAAGGGACCTTCAAAGGTCATCTAGTCCAACCCAACCCTGAGGTGTTCCACCCCTTCATCATTTTTGTGGCCCTCCTCTGGACCCTCTCCAACACGTCCATGTCTTTGCTGTGCTGAGGGCTCCAGAGCTGGACACAGGACTCCAGGTGGGCTCTCACCAGAGTGGAGTAGAGGGGCAGAACCACCTCCCTCGCCCTGCTGGCCACGCTGCTTTTTATGCACCCCAGGAGGTGGTTGGCCTTCTGGGCTGCAAGCGCACATTGCCGGCTCATGTCCAGCTTTTCATCCACCAGCACCCTCAAGTCCTTCTCAGCAGGGCTGCTCTCAATCCCTTCATCCCCCAGCCTGTATTGATACTGGGGGCTGCCCCAACCCAGGTGCAGGACCCTACACTTGGCCTTGTTGAACCTCATGAGGTTCACATGGGCCCATTCCTTGAGCTTGTCCAGGTCCCTCTGCATGGCATCCCAATGGAGATGGGATCCAATCCTCATCCAGAGGAGAGGGATGTCAACCGCACCACTCAGCTTGGTGTCATCTGCAAACTTGCTGAGGGTGCACCCAATCCCACTGCCTATGTCACTGATGGAGATATTAAAGAGTACTGGTCCCACTACGGACCCCTGGTCCGAACTTTGCATGACTTTAAGCACGCAAGTCTGCACAGGGAGAGGAGTCTGCAGTTCCCTCCAGTCTGCAGCTGAGAGGGAACTATGCTTCACCATTTACTAAGTTTTCATAAATCACTCATGATCAAACACAGAAACCACTATAAAGTGTTACTGACTGTACTGAATATTTAAAGTGTCATTGGCCTCCGCATCCAGAGATTAATGTTTTTTTTAATTTTCTCAGAAAAGGTTTGCCGGACAAAAGCCACTAACCGTCTGGAAACGAGCTAATGCTCAAAGGAAGGATTTCCGAAACTGTCCTGTAGGACCCTGTCCCTCCACTCGCTCCAAAGCCACAGGAAAACTGGTACCAGTAAGAACACAGCAAGGACAACACTTGAAAATGTCACACCAGGCGTTTTGCATGTGCAGGAGCGACCGACGTCTCGGTGCTTCATATCGGTGCCTGCATCACGGCGGGGTTCAGTACCAGGTCCCAGCGCCCATCCCGAGGACACGGGAGCGGAGCTAAACGCGCTGCGTGTTGGCCGGCAGGATCCACAGACGCAGCTGAGCTTGGCAGGGCCACAACAAGCAAGGCCAGCATGAGTTGTTCCCAGTGAAGCTGGCCAAAGGCTGGGGGAGAGGGCAGGAAGGGACGGAGGCGACCCGACATCCTCAGGCTGCGGAGCGTGCTGGGCAGAGCAGGGGCATCCCTGCCCCATCCCCAATTCCCAGCACACAGGCTCCCTGCTGCGACCAGATGGCAGGAAACACCTGCCCAGATTTAAACAAGTCAGACTAGTCCAAAAGTATACGGTAAAGAAGTTGGCCACAGATTAAATTTCCAGGTACACAGTATACTGTCAGGCCATTACCACCTAAACAAGCTCTTTGCAGGTTTGAAGTGCAAAGCCAAAAACTAAGCCATAATGTTTCCAGTTTCCTGAACATTTCCCATTCTCTGGACACTGACCTTTGCCCATGGATCCACAAAAGCCAAGCTAGGTGCTGCCACTTTGTCTCTGTGACTTGTGCAGAATATGTG